TTTCAGCAGCAGTGGAGCCTCATTAGCACTTATTAGTTTTGCTGATCCCAGCCAATCATACTGCAGTTATTACAAGAAGTCGTAGAAACATTAGGCTCAGGAGATTGAATTGACTTTCTTTATTAGATTAAATCAAAGCAGCTGGTTACCTGTTCTAACATAACTCCAGCTTTCAGAAAAAGGATGATGTGAGGTATGAAAATGCCTTCAAACCAAATAGCTGCCTCCTTAAACATGCTTTTGATATCTTACCTTATCTGCTCACAGTGTTCATTTTCTAAGCATATCTTAGCTGCATTGGCTAATACATTAAAATATAGTAATTCTTACTGGCTAAAAATTCACTTTCCCCAAACTGATGCCAGTGCTTAGTATCATGTCACGTCATTATCAATATGCTGCAGTAGGTCAGATAGTCCATTAAGATGCCTCTAGGACTGGATGTGGAACATATTGCCAGGCTATTGTGGCACCGCTACAGCTGATACTGTGCTAGCTCATGAGCAAAGAGGTTTATGTTCTCTGTGGTTATCAGCCTGATGCTTTTCAGTGAGAATAAAGGGAAGAGCCAAACCTCACAGTGGGAGAGGAGGTCTTTCCATTGATTTGTGTTAGCTTTAGGCAGCTTCTACATTCTTTTAACAAAACAAATTAAAAAAAAGAACTGTAACCATAAACAGGCTCAGTATTAATCTCCAGAATATGAACATATTATTTTATGACTGAGTGCTTCCTTGATTGTTCTTTCTGTCACAAAATAGAAGCACAGTCATGTACAGTCATATTACACTGTCTTGAATGCTGTCAAGAAGGGCTGTACAGCACAGAATGTTGAATTGTCAGATGTTAATGCCACACCACATATACACACTCATGTAGTGTAAAAGAAATGGTCTGGATTAGAAAGGTGTAAGACAAAAATTCCCATTTCCTCAGTAGTATGCTACAGATTTGCATATGCACTGGAATGTGCTTCCTTTAGGTTCTGGTTTCTGTGTATTGTAAATGGTCTTTACAGAAGGAAAGTTACTGCTTTGTCTGCAGTAGCCCTAAGTAACCTTTAGCTTCATCAGAAATCTGCTATATCTAGTAATGATGACTCACAGGAACAATTTTATTTTTTGAGAGTCCTCCCTTAGTTTGTTAGAAATTAAACATTCTCATTTAACACTAAATGAAATCTCTAAAGCCTCAACCATACTTGAAGCAAGCAAAGTAATCCTTAGAAAGCAATGCATTTTGAAAGCAGTTTTGATCATCAGCATGATTTGCTGTTGAAAGGAACCCATTTATGCAAAGAAATGAAAATAATGTAACAGCTTCATTCAACAGTTCTGTGATAGTAGTTAACATTTTCTTGACTTAAAAACAATTTTGTATTTTTTTCTATTTGCTCCAGCAACTGTTTTTCTGGAGTTTTGGAAAAGAAGGCGAGCAGTAATTGCTTATGACTGGGACTTGATAGACTGGGAAGAAGAAGAGGTTAGTATAAAAAAAATATACTCCTTAATCTTTAATACAAAAAGATTTGGCTAAAAATGTAAGCATGTTTTTCTTTTGGATTTATTTTCAATTCATTCTTCAAATCTTCATAAACTAGGAAATAAGCATTTTTCTCCTCAGATGTTTTCTCTGGAATGTGAAGAAACTTTCCTCAGGCCAAACTGTCCTCTCTTTTACACCTTTGTAAATCTAAATTAATTTCAACATATCAGTGGCTGCCATTGTGGGAGATTTCAGGAAACTAATGCACTTTGGGGGAAGCTAACAAATTGTGCTTTTGAATCCAAGGAAATCCTTGACAGCCCAGGGTATCGTGAATTTTGGCAAGTGAGCTTTTATCTATTCTTTTAGATAGCCACTAAGAATACTGATGGAGAGAAAGCCTTGTGAGGCTTGTACCAGCTTCTGAACATTCAGGTGCTGGTTACCTAAGTACACAGTGCTGCAGAGAGACTGAGGGAGATGAACCAACTCAAAGGACTTAATTCATCCTCTGTTGGTAGAGGAAATCCCCTTAGGGAGGAAACTAAACAGTGAAAAATAGGCTTAACCTTTTTCTGTGGTGGTTACCAGAAAGAAACAGCATGCTCTTAGGACTGAGAGCCGAGGTCTAAGTGGAACTAGAAGGTTTTATTATGCAGGAGAAAAGCAAGATTCAGTGGTTGTGGCAGAAAATGTGCTCCTCGAGTGGGATTTGGACATACAGGTGTCCACAGAGTCTGTTCTTCCTCTCCAGAGACTATCCTGAAGCATTTGGAGGGACTGCAAGAGGCTGCTGTAGTGGTCTCAATGCAGTTGAACTTGTATATTGCTGCCTCTGTTGAAGAATTTATTTTTCATTAATCTTGTGAGCAGAGAAAGAGACTTCTGAGTTATGGCATTTTTTGTCTACAAGGCAATGTAGTTCAGTGAGGCCATGAAATGATACAATTGCTAATTTGCTGATAGGATTTTTTTTAAAATGCTTAATGACTAAGAAAATAATCCAAGAACATTAAATGAAATAACTTACACAACTGCAAATTGGTTTCTTTATAGCAACAGGAACATCATTATTTGTGTACATATGCTGTCAATTCTTGGTGATACTTCAGGACTATTGTCATATATTTAGAAAATACTCTAATACTGATTTAACTCTCCTGAGATTAGCAGCCTGCTCTTGCCAATGCTGACGAGTCACAGAGAGACCACACTGAGATAATCCTGCCTGAGGATCAAATATTGGTCAGGATGGACCTGCAGTGATCATGTCCCCTCATGATTAGTTGTAAAAAAGCCACTGCTGCTGCCAACAGCTAAGGCAAAAGACAGATGTACCAAATTGCAATTCCAAGTCAGGATTATAGCTCAGTGTCCCCAGAATGAGAAGGAGCCTTTAAACTAACAAAATACACAAGCAAGTACAGTATGATGCCCTTTTGATGGTTTTCCCAGGAAGCCTGGTCTTATAGATGTTTATAGTTTGGGATGTTACATATTTGCACTTTTCACCATTTAACCTACCTGGATTTGGGATTCTGCTGATTTATAAAGCCATCCACCTGAATGTCCTATGATCAGTTCATTTACAAATATTGAATTTCCTGGTAAGGTTGTCCTTAAGTGATGCTTTGCTTCCCCGCCATGTAATAACACTAAGTGATTTCTGGCTGGTGTGGTAATGCTTGGAGGAGTCTTTTGCTCAGGTATGAGCACAACAGCTCCAGGCCCATTCAGGACCACTCCCCACTCTGTTTCCCTCTCCTCTTTATGCACGTGCCCAAACTCCATTTACAACCTTGCTGCTACTACTGAAAGTTCCTGTCCTCTTGCAGATCCTGGAGGAAAGCATTCCCATGGAAGATTCGCTTTCTGCTTTCTAAGATTTTTTGGAAAAGTGTTACCAAGCCTATGCAACTAAGCCTTTAGCTGGAATAAACACTGGAAAGACAGAAGAGAGTAGAGTTGCTAGATTTTTCTCTTCCAGTCAGAAAGCCTGAAATAGCTTCTGGTATTTGAAACTATCCTCATAGAAATATGATGTGTTTATTTTATGATGTCTATCAAATAACATTATTTTTTATGAGAGATGCAGATGTTCCACTGGCAGATTATTTCAGTTTGGCCTGCAGGATGACATATGCATGTTGGTAATTTTTAGAGAATACCTGCTCCCTGCTGATGGTCAGCTGGTCTTTTATTCTCACACCAGGATTTTTCCGATGAGCTCTGTCAACAAGACCTCAGTCAGGTGCCCTGGGGCAGTGGTGAGTGTACCTGCTCCAAAGCTACTCATTGCAACTTCTTACAGTTCTAGAGGGAGTTTTATAAGTCTCTACAGCAGGAGGTAGCAGTCTTTTCAGAAGCAGTGTGCCAGAAGGTACCTTTCTCTCTCAAATTAGAGGTTAAAGATGCCAATAGGAACTCAACTGGCTGCTTCTCAAAGATTTATGTGACCAGTCATCAGAGCATCAGTATCTCATTGGCGTGTGAGGCATCAGTTCCTCCTTTGTTCAGCGTTCACTCGGATCCCGAGAGTGGGAGCTGATTGCCTCCCAGAGGCGTCTTCTCTGAAGATGCTACAGCTGCCAATGCCCATACCTACTGCACAACTCAAGCATGTCCTTGCTTTAAGGTCAGCTCTATGGACCACTGCGTCCTCGTCTTGAGTATCGAATGCCACACGTTTCCATTGCCACTGGGATCTTTGCAGGACTTTGCCCATGGGACAGTCACAGTTTGGAAGCAGGTGTCCCAGGTGAAAAAGTGTTGAGATCATTTCCCTGTTCTGTGGTTCGAAGTTCACCTCTTCACTTTGCCATTGCCTTCAGCGGCAAAGCAGGATGACCTGCAAACCACAGGCTTTGCAAGGAGACTTACTTCTGGGAGTGCTGTCGCTGTCCCCGTGATTAAGATTCAGCTTTTCAATCTTTTACAAATCCCTTTTGTACATTTGGGCTATAGAGGACAATATATCCTTGGACTAGGAAGGATAGGCCTCCTGCAAGAATTTACCTGTTGAAGGACTCAGAAATCTCCTGAAAGAAAAGGATATATTTCACAAAGAAATTTAGAGTAGCTCTTTTAGTGCGGAAAGATGTAGCCTAAGGCAGTACACGTTCATCCATATTTGATACTCCAGAAGTTAGTATGGTTTCTCCTGTGAGTAAAGAGTTGGAATGATTCATGTTTGAGAAGCAGGAAGAAAGGAGAACAGTCTGTTTTATGCAGATTGAAAAAGACACATCCTGTGGAGTTTGATCATGAAATTGTACACATCAGTGAGATGTCAGTGAGAATTTTGTCTCCATAAGGTGAAAATTTTACTCCTAAAAGTGCTGCTTTCCAATAAAATCACTGCTAATTATATTTCCTCTCTACATTCCATTCAGTTATCACTAGAAAAAATCAGCCGATTTCTCTTATTAGCTATTTCAAAGAAATCAGTTAAAGAGTTCTAATTACCATTTTAAGTCACAAGCTTTTGTTAATGAAGATTGTTATTTTTATTAACATTATCTGCCGTGTCTAGCTTTTGCTTGCTTTAATTTTCATTGTCAAATTGAAAAATAAGTTTTTGCTACAGAGGGAAATTTATTAATTCCTACCAACAATAGATTGAAAAAAAAACCCAAACATTTATAAGGCTTCCTATCACTTCATTATCACTTTTCTGTTCTAAATGAAGAGACAAAGAAATGAAACAATGAAGACGATGGGAAGGAGAATTAAATTTTTTCAGATATGCAGCCTTGTGAATACCTCACCACTTTAGATTTTCACCCAAGGAAGGCATGCAGCAGCCCCTGCAGTGTCCAGGTCCCCCAGCCTGGGGACATGGTCTGAACGTGTTCTGGCTCTTTCAACCCTGCATATCTGGATTTCCTTTTCTTGTAAATGAGGTGCAAGGTGGGAGACAGGGAGAGTAACTGGGTTTTGGCTGGGTGTGCAACAAGAAACCAATTGCACAGAGGTCCTGGCACTCCCAGCTGAAATATGGCTTCTGTTGCTATTTACAGTGTACTTTTTTCTTTTTCTTCAGTGTCACTTTCTTTATAGCATTAACCTCAGCCAGATACAGTACTGTTCACTTCCTGCACCAAGCTGTGCTCAGCATTGCTGAGTGTCATTAAACAGGTACGAAGGTTCATGCCAGAGTTTGTTTTGTGTGGAGAGGTACTTGTAAAAATAGCATTTGCATTATCTGAATTGACTGGAGATCATAGGAGATACCTACATTCATGGATGGGTGGATATGATAAGGACTTCCCTATAGTGCAGATCGTAAAAGATAATCAAATCCTGGCTTAGAGGGAGCTGCAGAGAAGAAAGGGTTTCTTGTATATGACTCGATAAGTCAGCTGGCAGAGACCTTGCACAAACTACAGGGTGCAATTCTCAAGCGCCCTGCTTCAACACTATCACACTGTATCATTCTGCATGTCCCTGGGCACACAGGAATACTACTTGCATTGTTTCTCTTGCTAGATTATGGTCTGCTCAGCAGCCTTCAGCCCTGATATGGCAGGAACAGCCTGAGCAAGGTAGAATAATAGCAAAGTGTTACCCTGCCTCCATAAAAACATGCTTAGCCTTTGTATATAGCTAACGTAGGGCTGGTTCCCTCAAGTACATAATTAGTTACACAGGTATTGCAGCTAAGCATACATGCCTCTCAATTTTTTTTAATGTTACCAGGTTGTTGCTTGAATTTGGAAATTAACTGTATTGAGAAAGTACCTTCAAAATTTGAGAGAATGAGAATGAGGCATGACTTTTTTTTTTTCCGCCAGGGGAATTTTATAAAAAGGATGTAGGATTTTAGGATATCTTATTTTTATTCACATTCTAAAGGCTTGTATGAGCAGTTAACATTCACCTATTTCAATGCAGTCATGTAAGGTCCAGTCATTTACAAGTTTCAGTCAAAGTTCAATGCAGTTGAAGGTTGGAAGTGACTGAAATTAGTAAGCTGGGTTCTTGGCTGTTACAAAGAACTGCACAGCAGAGGCCTGGTGGAAAAGCTGCAAAGACAGTCCATAGCTGCCTTTGTGTTTCCTTGTAGCCAGCTGTACCGTGGGCCAGTTCTCCAGTATGCATCAGAGCATTGTAAAACTTGATCTCATGTATATAGACTGCCAACAGCTGTGAGAGTTCTTCTTCACAGCCTGGTGCTTTCTCTTGTCTCTGCGAGCATCCCCAATGTCAGACTTGGGTGAGGTGCCACAGGACACGTGGCTGTTGGTGAACCTCCTGGATGGCAGGGTGGTGGGGTAGCCCTACTGCAGCTGAAAATCGTGAGGTCTTACCTGGACTAAGGGTGAATCCTGTCTTCTGACAAGGCTGTAGACAGATGTAACCAAGTCTCTCCCCAAGAAATTCCCAAGTTTCATTTCAGGAGAGAGTTTTTATGGCAAAGCAGGATTTGACATTGCTGCTGCTGAAAGCTGTTCCTGCTAATAATATTGTCCAAGTTAGGAAATAATTGAGCAACATTAGATGGCACGGCTCCTTCTTCAAATGCTGAGAAGCTTTTGCTGATAAGGGGAAGTTAACCAATTACCTAGCAAACTGCAGTTGGGTTTGGAAAAAGGAGCTTTTTTTTTTTTTTTTTTTTTGCTTTTTTCTTTGTTGTAGAATTCCAGTATCAATAGGATAATACCAGGCTGGAAAACTCTGTGGTATCAACCTTAAAATGATTTGGCTTACAGCCATGTAGTTTGAAAAGAGTATTGTTTAGATGAGTAGCTAATCGGGGAGTTTACTAAATACTTCCAATATGGTTTTATGGGTACAGTGATTTATTCTAGTTCTCATGAAGGAGACCTGATTTCCCAGCTCAGCTTTTACAGTAGCTGTGCCAGCTGCTGAATTCAAAGATGTAATTCCTAATAACTGTGATCTGATGAATGGTCTGAAGTTTCCTACAGAATCTTTCCTAGCTGTGCTGTATGTGAACATTGTCTGTCTGTTCTTTAGGAGGAAATACGTCCGCAGTTTGAAGCCAAGTACTCCAAGAAAGAACGAATGAACCCCATATCCGGGAAGCCAGAGCCTTATCAAGCATTTGCAGATAAATGCAGCAGACTCATTGTTTCTGCATCTGGAATATTTTTTATGGTTTGAGAACTTTTATTTATTTACCAGTTGAAAAAATACAAAATAACATTATGTCTGCTGAGAGAGTATGAAGATATTGGATATGACTGCTTGAAAGTGAAATGAGCTCTAGCATGTTTACTGCAGGCTGAAAATCTGTACACAGCAAATAGCCTGACTTTATAGAAAGTCCTGCACTAGTTTACTCTTCACCAAGCTCACAGATAGTTAAGTCCTTCCTTCAAGGATATATGCATAAGGCTATATGTAGCGATGCATATACCGGAATAGTGACACTACCACATTTAGGCACCAACTTCAGCTGACTGAATTAGCTCACTGATTTCCTTGCCTTCCCTGTGTGGACAGCGCAGAGTGATGGGGAGAGATGTCATGGAAGAGGCAGTTGTTCTTTGTAAACTCTACAGACAACCTAACTAAGGTGCCTAGCATGCTTCATGATCTTAACATGTCCTAGTTTTTCAGTGTATTGAGGAGGTAAGGAAAGAGGGTCCATATTCCTAGTGCAAGTGAAATGGAGAAACCGATGTCACTTGCCTAAAATGAGGCATCTCTCCCCCTTCCAAAGTACAAAACTAAACGCAGAAGCAAAATCTCTCCTAACAGAGAGCTGCATGCATTTCTGCTGAAATGCCCCCGTCCTCTAACTTCACGGAATCTGTTATTCACTGTTATTCACATGATGACAGCAGTGGTAGGACTGATCTTGAAAACACAGCTGGCAGACCCTCATGGAACTTACTAGGGCTTTTCCCAGAGGCTAGAAAATGATATATGCGTATAACTTCAGGAGCTGTGGAGAGCCAGGTGGGTGAGCTAGCCCAGCAACTTTGTGTTTGAATGAGATGGGAAGGAATAGGGCAGAGGGTTTGTAAGAAACTGATGGCTTCAAAATCATCCAAAGCAATCTTGGACAAGAAAGGCAAGAGCATTATTGAGATGAATCATGCTCTGGTATGTCAGGTGGATAGACAGAGACACACAGAGAAACACTGGGCATGAGGAGCCAATGTACTGTCCAACCGAGCCCTTGAAGACACTTACATCTGCTCAGGACTGCAGTCTCTGCTCAAAATTGACCCACAACATTTTGCATTTTCCCT